GGTTATTCAAAATTTTAGGATGAAGTTTTTTAATTTGCTGTACACAAGCTTTAAATATCAAGAATTTCTTTTTCAGGTTTATTAAACAATATAGATTTTATACAAAATTTTAAAATATTTTGAGTTTCTTTACAATTTATTTATATATTTTAGTTTTGTTTTATTAGTTTTATAAAACTGTAATATAGATATAGCTATAGTTTAAGTACTAATTGTAATTAAGAAGCAATAAAATTATTATCTTCAAAAACTAAGACAGTTAGGTGAGGTTGTGGTTTTCTATTCAGTTTTTTAGGTAAACTCAAATATTCACAATATATTTGACTACGATTTAATACTAAGTGAAAATAAGTACAATTCCTAACTGCTATGAATAGTACATAATTGCACTCATTTGTCTCCTTACATTTACCACCCCATTTTTGGAGGACGGCCTGCCTCAAGATAACCTTTCTCACAGCGAACATGGACATAACACCATCAAAAAGCAAGAAACTTACATTCAGGTTGCACAGTGAATCAGCTTTAGGCAATCTTACAAATGCACTTCACAATATTAACTGGGATTCTGAACTCAATAATACTCAGGATATAAATTCATTAGCTAACCTCTTCCTCTCCAAAACTCTAAGCCTCTACAACCTTCATTGTCCCCTCCTTACCAAGCAAGTAACTGACAAAAGATTAAACAATCCATGGCTCATAATTGGCATTTTCAAATCAATCGACAAGAAACATGAATATGAAAAGAAACATAGGATTGGCCTAGTTACAAAGGAAGTAGTTAAAAGGTACTCATCAATGCTTACCAGTATTATAAGAAAGACAAAACTTTCATATTATGTGAATAGATTCAATGAAGCAAAAGGCAACATGAAAAGCACATGGAAAACCATCTCTAGTATCCTAGGAACTAAACAACACTCACATAACCAAATAAAACTCTATAAGGATGGGTATACACCGTCAACTGATTTAGAAATGGCAAATGAATTTAATAGCTTCTTTTCATCGGTTGGTGCTAATCTTGCCAGAAAAATTCCACAGACTCAGACACATATCTCTCAGGCAGCTATCCAAACTCTCTTCTCCTTTCACCAGTCAGCCCGGCAGATGTTGTGTCCATCATACACTCACTAAAAACCAAGGCAGGGAACACCAGTGAAATTCCGTCCATTGTATACAAGAGCGCCTCCCATGCCCTTGCGCCACCCATAGCTCTACTGTTCAACAAATCCATAGTGTCATACCTTTCCTGATATCCTTAAAAAAGGAAGAGTGACGCCAGTCGATAAAGGAGGCAATCCGGTGGACATAAACAATTATAGACCAATATCAAACCTACCCATTCTATCAAAAATATTTGAAAAAATTATCTACAAACAGCTCTATTCCTACCTCGTAAAATTCGACATACTCAGCCCCCGCCAGTTTGGCTTCCGGTCCCAAAAGAGCACCAATGATGCAATCATTAGTCTCCGTGACGTAATCTACTCAGCCCTTGACAAAAATGAGTTTCCGATTGGACTCTTCATTGACCTGAGAAAAGCCTTTGATACTGTTAATCACAACTACCTCTTACTTAAACTCCAGCATTACGGAATTCGAGGCCTTGCCCTAGAATATATCCGATCCTATCTTAGTGACAGACACCAATGTGTAACCATCAATGACACAACCTCTTCCACTCTACCAATAACCGTTGGAGTGCCACAGGGCAGCATCTTAGGACCTCTTCTATTTCTTATATATATCAATGTCTCTAATATTTTTAAACCTATATTGTTTGCTGATGATGCTACCCTCATCTATTCAGACCTCAACCCACATACACTAAATAATGTTGTGAATAATGAATTAAAAAAGTCCACTTATGGACGTCAACTAACAAACTAACACTAAACATAGAAAAGACCTACTACATCTTATTTGGAAGCAAATCATCGAATGCAATTCAGCTACAGATAGACAACATTAACATCAGTAATAAAAGTGATGGAAAGTTTCTTGGCCTATTCCTAGACAAGAGACTCAACTTCAGCACCCACATTCAACACATAACTAAGAAAGTCTCTAAAACAGTTGGTATACTCTCCAAAATAAGATATTATGTTCCTAACTCTGCTCTCCTCTCACTGTATTATGCACGAATATATCCCCATCTTAATTATGGTATCTGTGCATGGGGGTCTACCACTGCAAACCACCTCAAATCAAATCAAATCAAATGTTTATTTAGGTAAGGTACATACATACAAGAGATTTTACAAAGAGTGATGGATTTATAGATAGGGCTAGTACATACAATGCCTAAAGCCACTATTACGCAAAGCGTTTCGGGCATGAAAAACTTAAATGACTAAAGCTTAATACTAATTGAGCATAAAGAATAAAATGAGTTGAGAACAAATAAAAAAAGAGATAAAAAGGGGGGAACATGGCTGAAAAAGCAGCACAAATACAATTCTGTCGACAAACAGCGTCATTTAAAAAAAAACAGACATACCTTGAGGTTACCTTGAGGTGCTTCCGGGGCTTAACGTCCCCGCGGCCCGGTCGTCGACCAGACCTCCTGGTCGACGGAGGGGTAACAATAACAATAGAGGGGTAAGGTAGGTTACAGGGAATTTATTAGGTATAGCTTCGTTTTTATTTTAAACTGGTTGAGAGAGGTACATTCTTTAATATGGTTGGGAAGGTCATTCCACATTCTGGGTCCCTTGATTTGTAGAGCATTTCTAGTTTGATTAAGTCGTACTCTAGGAATATCAAAACTGTATTTATTTCTGGTGTGGTGCTCATGGGTTCTGTTACAACCTTCTATGAAGCTTTTGAGGTCAGGAGCTCAAGCCCATCATCACCCAGCAAAAATCTGCTATCAGAATAATAACAAACTCTGCTTTCAGACAACATTCAGCTCCGTTGTTTAAATTCCTTAACATGCTAAATATTAACTCCCTCCACACATTCTCTTGTGTCAACTACATTTACAAAACCCTGTTCTTAAATGCAAATCCTGCTCTGAAACTCTCCCTGGACAGTTGTAATAGGACCCATTATCACCACACTAGAAATAAATTTCTCTTTGATATCTCCAGGGTCAAACTTAATCTGTGCAAACACTCTATGCAAATAAAGGGACCTAGTCTATGGAACTCACTCCCTAGTGATTTGAAAAGCTGTCAAACTTTTGCCTCATTCAAAAACAAAACCAAAAAGTACCTAATTTCATCTTCGTAGTTTCCTACACTGAGCTTTAAATTTGCTCTGTATCTAGTGTTACCCAATCTCCCATTCTTTATGTACTTAATCCAAACAACTTTATCATTGTGTTCATTGCTGTCTTCTTTTATGTGCTAGTCATATGCTGTATTGTACCTACTAATTTTTGTTAAACTATCATTCAAGCTATCATTGCAATCAAATCTGAGCTACCCATGTGCTTTAATATACCTACAATTTTCTCTCGCTATGTAACTGTTATCATTATAAATTTTGCTAGTATTTATTTATTTATTTATTTATTTATTTATTTATTTATATATATACAAGAAGGTACATTGGGTTTGTGAGAATACATTGGATAGTACATAGTACAATATTTACATTCTTGTAAAGCCACTAGTACGCACAGCGTTTCGGGCAGGTCCTTAATCTAGCAGATAATTTTAAGTAGGTAATTTCAATCAGAATTGATAAATGATAAAGATACATTACAAGAGAAAAATGAGATGAGAGAGATAAGTAGGTATATTAAAGCACATTGTTATATTAAAGCTCTGATTGATTACATTGACAGCTTGATTAGTAATTTAAACAAGGTTAGTAGACACCATACAGCAGATTGACAGCACATATAAGACAGCAATGATCACAATGGTAAAGATGTTCAGATTGGGTACATAAAGATTGGGAGACTGGGTAGCAAAAGATACAGATAAACAAGATTTATAAACACCATACCACAGATTGGCAGCACATATAAGAAAACAGCAATGATCACAATGGTAAAAATGTTCAAATTGGGAACATAAAGGTTGGGAGATTGGGTAGCAATTGATACAGTGCAATTTTAAAGCAAAAAGTGAAAAACTATGAAGATGAAATTAGGTACTTTTTAGTATTGATTTTGAATGATGTAAAAGTTGGACAGTTTTTCAATTCAGTAGGGAGTGAGTTCCATAAACTGGGTCCCTTTATTTGCATAGAGTGTTTACACAGATTTAGTTTAACTCTGGGGATATCAAAGAGATATTTATTTCTGGTGTGGTGATAATGGGTCCTATTACATCTGTCCAGGAAGAGTTTCAGACAAGGATTTGCATTTAAGAACAGGGTTTTGTAAATGTAGTTGACACAAGAGAATTTGTGGAGTGAGATTATGTTTAGCATGTTTAGGGAGTTAAACAAGGGGGCTGTGTGTTGTCTGAAAGCAGAATTTGATATTATTCTGATAGCAGATTTTTGCTGGATGATGATGGACTTGAGGTGGTTTGCAGTGGTTGAACCCCATGCACAGATACCATAGTTGAGATAGGGATAGATTAGTGCATAATATAGAGAGATGAGAGCAGAGTTAGGAACATAATATCTGATCTTATCTACTTATTTATCCTATCTATATTTATCTACTTAAAATTTTCTTAGATTAACCTGCGTGTACTAGTGCCTTTACAAGAATGTAATTACTATGCTATGTATCCTCACAATCCCAATGTACCTTCTTGTATATATATTTATATATATATATATATATATATATATATATATAAATAAGATGTAAAATTCCTTATGAAAAATAGAGGGACTTTGGACAAGCCGCTGGCTGCCTTGTGTTGTGGCCAATAGAAAGATAGTAGCAATTTCAGATAAATATTTGTAAGCAATGATACTCTATATATATAGATTCTAAATCTAACTAAATAATAAAGCGAGTGTCTTTGAGACGAAAGATGCTCGCTCGCTGCGTGTTGATGCCCTGTGATTGGTGGATTCAAACCAGTTGCTGTCGAGGGTATGTTTTGGTGATCGGGGAGGGCCCGCCACGCATTATTTATCCCATTATTTCGTTCTTATGGATATTTACGTATAACCAAGGACTCCAGTTAGGACAGTAAGTCCGTAAGGATTATTTTGGTGTGTTTTTGTTAGGCCGGTTGGATGTAATAATCCTCGGGGGAACTCTTAATCTTTCCTGATTTAAATCCTCGAAAGTTTCGAGGATTTAACTTTAGTCCAACTACATCAGTCTCGGAAGACTATGGACTCAGCTCAGTATCTTCATGAAATTGCGTTCTGATTGTTGGCTGATCTCTCCAGGGCGTAAAGCCAGGGGTAGGTCGACGGTAATAATAATGCAAGTTTAATTGTATTAAGCTTCCCGTCAAGGTTCCAGTTTCGTGTTCTGGCCGAAACGCCGTGTGTGCTAGTGGCTTTACAACAATGAAACTTCGAGTCTCTGTACTCTAATAAACCCAATGTACCTTCTTGTATATAAATAAATAAGGTTATATTTCAATTAAAAAATATTGTGTAGCGTACTTTTTGTTTTTCGTGAACACTTGGTTTTGTCACATATTCACCTAGTTGTGCTTGCGGGGATTGAGCTCTGGCTCTTTCGGCCCACCTCTCAACTTTCAATTTTTTTCTCACACACAACACAGGAAGCAGCCCGTAACAGCTGTCTATTTCCCAGGTACCTATTTACTGCTAGGTGAATCGGTGCATCAGGATGAAAGAAACTGCCCCATTTGTTTCCTCTATTGCTGAGGACCGATCCCCAGTTCCTAGGAATAGGAATCCCGAGTGTTGTCCACTCGGTTACCAAGCCCCCCAAGTGGCCCCTGCTTCAAGTGGTACTCTTTGTAGGTGGATTCTTGCGTGGTCTCCGGTTGGGATTACACAGGTTCCTACAACCGTTGCCCAGAGTGCGAGTGACAACAGTTTACTAACTCCCGGGCACCTAGTGACTTTTAAGGTGAGCAGAGGCAAGGAAATGTCCGAAGGCCTCAATCTGCACAGGAATTGAACCCAGAACCACTGTGGGCCGGTGAGAATCGAGGGGTTGGTGAGGAGTGAAGTAGAGCAGTTAATTGCCCTGGATGGCTGATTAGAAATCTTTCTACCCTCTGTCTCTCAGGGAGAGTATTGTTGTATTTTACAAAGGTATTTCTTTTAATGCTCATTTGTTAATTTAAGCAAATATACAGTATATTGGGGGTACAGTCAAATCATATACAGGCATTTTGACACATTTTCTAATTGTCAAAACTGTATATATTGTTGAGCTAGGCTATGTTTCCCTAGGTGGGGTTAGGTTTGGTTTCCTTAGTTTAAGGTGATGTTGTGTTAAGTAGAAGCTTAATAAAGTTGGTTTTAAAGTTCGTTGGCAAATATTTTTTATTCACTGTGACTTGTATCTGTATATTGTTTGGTAGACTTGAAGTTTGTTGATGATCCATTCTAGGTGGTGGTAATGCTGTTTGCAGTGATGAATCTGGCACATTATGCATCATTGGGAAGGGCAAAAATTGACTGATTTTAGGCAGGAGGTCTTGTTGGTCATGGCTAAATGAACCTGACTGATTAATTTACTTTTTACTCCAAAATGGGTTGACTGACTTTGCAAGCTCAATGTCACAGAAGTAATATTACAAGGCAGTAGTATTTATTATAATAAAAAAGGATTACATTACCTATTGTAGAAATTTATTTTATTATTATAGACAAAATTATACTGTATAAATCAATTTTAACAAAATGCAAATCATAACTTGGCTTTATATCTAGTTTACCTTAGAGTTCAGATGAGCCCACTGAAGGCAAGACACTGGCTTAAAACTCCATGGAGTTCAAGTTCTGCATTCAAAGTTCACACAAGCACTAGGAAACAGATTTCAGCAGTACAGTAGGCGTCAAAACCTGTAACTGCGTTAAAATTGACATTATGACATCACACCTCATGCACCATATATAAAACATAAGATTTTACTTTCATTAGGTCAGTTCATTTAGGCTTGGTTAGATTACGGTTAGGTTTGTAAGAATGGTGATGACGTAAATGGGGCATAATTTTCACAGGTCACTGGATAAAAAAAAAAAACTTATTCTAGCAGGGAAATCAGTATTCAGCCTGTACAGTTTTTAACAATCAATTATTGTTATAATATTAAATAAATTTGTTATTAATGCATTGTACAGGTAATTCATGTTATGAACAAAGGCCACCACATGGCCACACCACTCTATCGTAAAACCCAGTAATTCAGATTTCTATCCAATTTAAGTACAATAATAATAAACCTTGGATTCGATTTTGGCTGGTTATCCAAAGGGCCTGGATATTGAGCTCTGAATTAGTGAGCTCATATAGTAGTGAAGCATTTGCTGATCATGATTAGCTGTCAACTTACAAATAAGAGGGATTGGTTTAAAAATCTTGGCCTTTTTCTTGTAGGTATTCCCTTTAAACCATTTGGTCTGACCTGCTTCCTAAATTTGGGAGGCAAGCCAACATTGTCTAGAGAAGTAATGGGAGATTGTGTTGGCTCAGTTTGTGCAAGGTTATTGAGGTCAGGCAGTGTCAGCATCATAATGGGAAATATCTACCGCCTGTATGTTAAGACCAGAATCTAACTACATAACATTGAAAGGTTGACATTGCACAACAATTTCCACTATGCATAATGAAATTACATTTGTGTTATGTATGAGAAAATATTGAAGCTGTTTAGTAGAATCCCATCCCTAAAGCTCTGGGATGTGGACACTATCCCATTGTATGTCTTCACTATTTTTTCTGCTGCCTCTACCAAAATCTCAGGTTTTTACAAGGTCATGTATTACATTACGTTTTTACTCAGTGTCTAGTAAATACAGTACCTTATGTGCCTGCACGGTAGATTTATTATTGTTCTTCATGCCCAAGTGGACCAGTAGCATCCGAGTGTTGCAGTACTGAGTGAAAAGTTTACTGAAGTAATGAAGTAAAATGTTGTGATAAAAGGGGAATTATTTTGCTGACTGAAACTGAATACTGTAGCAGTGGGTTAACCTGGTTAGTTTACATTGTGCTTTATAAATAATACAGTAGTGCTGTATATTATATACCTGATTTACCTGAGGGCCACTAACCCTAGTGGCCTCGATGAGGACAGGAAGCTGGTGGCTCGTTGAATGTCCCCCCAATTTGCCTTGATGTTTTCTAGGTGTACAGTACAGTATATTAAAACTCAACACAGTTTTGGCAGTTATGGCTTTGGCGGGTAGGCGGTTCCATGAGTTAATGACCCTGTGAGTTAAAAAGCATCTCCTAATTTCTCAGTCCTACATGTGGCTTGTTGAGCTTGAAACTGTAGCTCCTTGTTTGTGTTACATCTGACCTGAAAAAATATCCAGATCAACATCCTCTGACTTGCTCAGTATTTTAAATTTCAGTGAGATTCGCCCTGTCATGCTTGGTTTGCAGTGTTGTAAGCACAGTGGCCTTCAAGTGTTCTTGATACGAGAGATGACAGCTCTGGAAGGACTTTTGTTGCCCAGTGTTGCGCCTACTCCAGAGCAACTATGTCCTTCTGAAAATGAGGTCTCCATGCTTGGATACAGTAATCCAAATGGAGGCACACCAGAGATATATAGTTTAACCATTACCTTCTTTTCCTTAGTCAAAAGTTTGCTTAAATGTACCAAGAGTTTGATTAGTTTTTCTGACTGCTACACCCACCTGTTGTGCAGCTTTTAATGAGTGGTGGATTTTGACTCCAAGGTCCTTTTCTTCATCAATCTGCTGTAATGTAATGCTATTACTGTAATTTGGTAGTCGTGACATGGGTTGTTATGCTCCGCATTCATTTTCTTGCATTTGGCGATGTTAAAAAGCATTTTCCACAGTCTTCTAACCATTTGTGGAGTTAATGTAGATCTCTTTGTAATGCTTCAATATCATTATCATTTCCTCACTTTATTATAAATCTTTGTGTCCTCTACAAATTTGATGATGTGGTTTGTAATATTCTTATCTATGTCATTGATGTCTATGACAAAAAGGGTAGGTCTCAAAATGGACCTACCTTGTGGCGCCTCACTTATCACATTTCTCCATTCAGATTCGTTTCCATTTAGCACGACCCTTTGTTGTCTTTCCTTCAACCATTGTTTTATCCATTCTTATATTTTACCATTTATTCCATGGGTTTGTAATTTCCTTGCCAGTCTTTCATGTGGTACATTATGGTTATCTTGAGATGATTTCAGGACTTAGCGTCCCTGCGACAAGGTTCTTGACCAGGACTCCTTTTTGTTACCCCCCCCCTCAAGGAAGCAGTCCATAGCAACTGTTTAACTCCCATGTACCTATTTACCATTAGGTAACAAGGGCATCAGGGTGAAAGAATCTGCCCATTTGTTTCCTCCTCCACCGGGATTGAACCCGGAACCTCAGGACTATGAATCTGAAACACTGTCCACTCAGCTGTCATGGTACCCTGTATGGTACTCTAGTCACATGTACAGAAACTTGTATGTACAGTACATTTTATTTATTAAATACTCTTTATTGTCTTATGCTTGAAGCAATTTGGTAAAAAAGTATTTTATAATATATCTACACTTGATGATACTAAAACTATATTTTTTCAGGAAATGGCTGCAGTGGACAAATTGTACAACCTTTCTCTCTGTGTTCAGGAAAAATGTTCAAATGGATGTGATAGTTTTGAGGTAAGTATTGTACTTTCTTTATGATTGGTATCCCCACTTAAACAGAACACTACTGGTTACTGGTTACAGTGAAAGTTTTGCCTTTCTGTGGAAATTAATTGTTGCCATTGTTTCCACCAAAGGGATGTAATTTTTTTTACTGAAATTTCAAGATCAACTTATACAAGATACAGTATGCACAAATACACTAAAAATACTTATTATATGCACATATTTTAATTATGAGACCATATTCTATGGTGGCATTTATTGGTGGTAGGTGTCTGTCTATGGGGATTCTGCTGCCTTTGGTATGTAGTTACTGTACATGATTTTATTTTTATATGTAAAATATATGTAATCATTCTTTATTCTTTTCATAGTGTCATTTAGTTTTTAAACTTACATTAGAACTTAAGTTTAGAGGAAATTGCACAAGGCATATTTGGTGACAGCACTTTGTGACGGAAAGTGATTTTTTTGTACTGTAGGCATACTGTGTGGGATAAATCACAAAGCATCGATTCAGTCGGTAGTTCGTGTGTGTTGGGAGTCCAGGGATGTGGGTTCAGTTTACAGTCTCAATATTTTTACAGATAAATCACATTTCTTGTGTTTCATTGTACATTGTACAGTACTCCTCATCATGGAGTGCTGCTGTACTGAACTTACTTTAACCCTTTAACTGCACAAAACATCATATGATGTGTGACATTGAGCTCAGTTTTTAAAATTTTCTGAAACTCTTTCAAATGTTTTGTGCTTAATCTAGTAGGCAAATGCTCCAACTTTGTCTAAATGATATCAGTGTAACTTGAAAATCAAGAAAATAAAAAATAACTCCAAATGTTTAGAGTTTATGGAAAAATCAATTCTATGAGGATTGTAAAACAGACAGCTGTGCACACTATATGTAAAAATGGTGAGAATCGGTCAGAAACTAGATTTTTGGATACTGAAGTAAGTTGAAGTTATAGATATAATTGAAGTTGAAGTTATCGACAATGAATAAGGCAGTTCTAATTCATGAATTTACTTGAATGTTGTAATAAACTTTGTTTGGCATTCTTACTCAAATATGTGAAAGTTGTTGGTCACAGTGTTGAAATGAAGTGAAGAAAATATAACCCCCAAAAAAACAAACTATAGATAATTATAATAATTATAATGATTTAGGGGATATATTTAGGGTATGCTTAATATAAGTAAAAAAGCCCTAATCTAGTCCCCAATCATCAAAACAACCTAAAGAAACAAGGAAAATAGAGTTTGAAATCTATGAAAAAATCAGTCAAACAAAATTCAAAGTCCCAAGTTCTGAGAGTTGTGACTGATTTATTTGTTGACCAATTTAATTCTGTCTTCACATAGGTAGGGGTATGCATTCTCCAGGATGTATAGGTTACAACAAATTAAAATAATAAACAAATGAGGAAAAAACCTAAAACCCTAAAAAAAAAAAAAATCCCCCTAAAAATTTTTTCTTTTGGGGGGGACTTTGTTGAAAGTAACCAATAACAACATTGAGCAATGTATTATGTGATATACATATATTTGACAGTCTCCATGGTGTAGTGGTAAGACATTCGCCTGGCGTTCCGCAAGCGCTTTGTCATGGGTTCATATCCTGGCCGGGGAGGATTTACTGGGCGCAAATCCTTAACTGTAGCCTCTGTTTAACGCAACAGTAAAATGTGTACTTGGTTGTAACAACGATTCTTCGCGGCGGGGATCGTATTCCAGGGACCTGCTTGAAACGCTACGCGTACTAGTGGCTGTACAAGAATGTAACAACTCTTGTATATATCTAAAAAATAAAAAAAAGTAGAGCATAATAACATACAGTACTCATTATTATTTGTGTTATTATGTATTACTCACCAATGCTATAAAGGCACCAGCTGTATATCCACTTTGTGGACACTTATTACTACTATTCTTTTTCATTGTGTGTCGGACAGGTGCTGAATCTCATTATTATTGCATTATCTATCAGTTCCAGTTAATAGCTGTTTTCCTTATCTTCTGTTTCTGGCCTTCTCTTCAATCCTCATAATGATTCATAATTTTGTTTGTATAGTGAGACTTGCCTGGCATTATATTAATTATAATACAAAGTGTTTTTGGTAGCCAAACACTTTAAGCATCTCATGTTTTATAGCTAAGAAAAACATTTTGAATAATTAATGCATGACTTCTGTTAATGATAGTAAGCCCTTTGTCCAAGTAGGGTCTATGACCTAAGAAAGATATGGTCATTGCTACTCTTTAAACAAACCCAGCCTAATCTAACACACATTAACCTATCCTAACCCAACTTAACCCACCCATCCAAACCAAACCTAACCTAATGAAAATTTGAGATAAAATGTGTGTATATGGTGTGATGAGGTGTATGGCACATTTATAATACTGTTCAGGTTATTGGCTCCTATTTTTTGCTAATTTCAAATTGTAACAATTCAGTATGACAACTCTATTTTTCATTTCATATTGGAATTCATATTTTTCCAATTATATTTAATGGTTCTTGGAGACCTAAAACTATTATCAAAGAAGAGTTTTTCTTTGGTTTTCAGGAACATTTCCTTTGGCTGGAGGGTGTCATTGCTACCGCTCGTCAGACGTTTACTTCTGCTGATCCAGCATTCTTGCCCAAGACACCTCGGATTAAAAAGAAATGTCAACAAAGGAGACCTCTTCAACCAGACATAAATGGTGAGTTTTTTGCAGGAATGTTTAAGAGAATAGTAAGGAAGCACTTGGTATGATGTGTGTGTGTACTGTATTTATACTGTTGTGTGCTGTAAACAGTATTCAGCCATAGTCTCTCATTGTCAGGGATAGCTATTAAGATATTAAATTCTTTGCATTAAAAATCAAGGCTTGATAGAAAGGTTAAAAGTGCAATTATTTGTACAGTAGGCCCACTGAAATTTAGATATTTTTTAGAAAATATATAAATGTCATAATTTTGCTTGTACCTGTCAAGGCAAAATTGGTTAGATGTGTCAGGGGTCTAAAGCACAGGTGCTGTTATGCCAGCATTTAATGTATGATAATTATACAAGGTAGTTTAATGCCAAAGGCTTCCACAAGTAATACCTTTATGCCATCCCATGTAAGCAAGTCATCCTGTCTATTTAAAGTACAGTATATGTACAGTATAAAGTACATATATGATTCAGTACATATATGAAGTAATAAAATTATGGTATAGTTACATTTGCACCTTCTGACCTCTGTGAGTACTGTATGAACAGTTTGACTAAAGGTTTGTGGCTCTGACTGGGTCACCATCTCCCTCTGTGGTGCATGTTCACCTTCAAGGAGAGTGGCCTACTTTGGTGGCTAGTCTGCAGTGGCCTCACTGAAGGCGCTGTTACATTCTGCACATGTATACAAAATACAGCTTTACTATCTAGGATCTGCAGCCATTGAAGATGATCTCCACACCATTCAATTTTTGTACAAATATGAACATCCTGTCACTAAAGGTTAAAAATATGCATGTTAATGGGAAAACTGGCTTTGACTAGGAACTAATTCAAGAGAAAATATTGTAGCAGAAAGTACTACAATACAACCTTGATTCAATGAACTCTTATGGGTCCAAACCCAATTAATTGCAGTGAGGGATTTATTGCAACTGGTGATGCATCCAGGGTACATTTTGCCTGTTCATTTAGCAAAATTTTAATTTCAACCTATAGTATAATAAACAACTACCAAATTGGGGATATTGCCAATCAGTTGACATTGTGCCATAGGAAACCTTGTTAGTCTCAGCAATTCTGGAATAGGCTTGACTTATAAAATGTTCTGAAAACTAAATTCAAAAGGATTTTTTCTTTCCATTAATAAAACACTGATGCTTGCAAACATATCCCAAAAGTTAATCTATCATATTTGGTTGTAATAGGTAAATATGTGTTCATGACAACACAATGCTGGTTAAATATGTGTTTGTGACAACACAATGCTAGTTACATTCAGGACCCTGGGTAGTGGGGCCCTCCTCAATATGGGGCTTGTTGGTGGTAGGAGCTACCACCTTGAGCCCTGACCACCAGGGCTTCAGGTGGCTTAAGGTGAGGTGACTCAAAGATGGAGAGAACAGACACACACACAGAGTGAGTGGGGGGGTGGGGGAAAGTGGAAAGAAGAGAGATGGGGATGGGAAGAATGATGGAGAGAGGTGGAAAGGGTGAGAGAAATAGAGGGTGAGAGTGGGTGGGTATTATGGGTCAGAAAGGAGTCAAGAGGGAGGGAGGGGGTAGAAAGGCGGGGAAGAGGGAAAGAGGGGGTAGGGTGTGGAAAGGGAGAAGGAAGGGGTAGAAAGGGAAAGAGGGAGGAGTTGAAAAAGTGGTAGGGGCAGAGGGGTGAAGACACAAAATTATAGACCAATAGCTCTAACATCACGCATCATAAAAAATTTGAAAGCACGCTAAGAAGCAAGATCACATAACACGTGTAATCACAACATCTTCATAACCCTGGACAACATGGATTTAGAACAACACAATCTTGTCTCACAAATGCTAGATCATTATAACAGGGCCTTATATGCCATGGAAGACAAGCAAAACTGATATACAGTAATATACAGACTTTGCACAAACATTTGGCCATGGTGTTATTACACACAAAATGTGCTCAAAAGGAATTACTAGCAAAGTATTGATATCAAAGTACAGTATCTTTAACTTCCTAATGAACAACCCAAAGTGTAACAGTCAACAAAGTAAAATCTGGACCATCCACCAGGAAAAGTTCACTCCCTCAAGATACTGTGCTTTCTCTGGAACTTTTTCTCATGCCCATATTGGACATAGATAAGGAAACAAGCTATAGTATTTTATCATCCTTGGCAGATGACACTAGGATTTTCACGAGAGTAGACTGTATAGAGGACACAGCAAACCTCCAAGCCATTGTTTATTAGGTCTCTCAGTGGGCCACAGGAAATAATTTGTGTGTTTAATTTGTATCTACTTAATGAAGATAAGTACTAGTTACTGTGCTTTGGAATAAATGGAAATATCAAAACGGAAACATGTATAAAAATCTGTCACACCACATTATTGAATGAAAAGGCAAGGTACAATATGTATCACTTCCCTGCATTCTAGAGAATACAGAATTAGGCATTTTAGTCAGTCAGTAGTTTAGATGTTTTACAGAGTGAATTCTAGCAGTAAAGGATCTCTGCACGCTCGACAGGTCAGCAATTTCTCCAGTTTTGAAAGGGCCTGTCATTGTGCTACAGTATTCCACACTAGAGAGCACTAGCATTTTGAAAAGTAACATCATTGGTATAGCATCTCTTGTTATCCAACTTGTCATTTTTCTTGCAGTTGTGATGGCTGCTTTATTGAGTTCTTTAAGGGGGCGTCTGGTTATAAAAATGCAAAAATGAAAACTCGTTCGATTTCAATCAAACTTTTTTGACAAGTTCTATATGAAAAGTGTTTCATCTGGTCCAAGTTTCAGCATCGTAGCATATATAGGAAGGGAGAAAAAATATTGAAGTAGTTGTGAAAATTATGCAAAAATGGTCAAAATCGATTATCAATCAAAAGTGTCAACTGAAATCATAGCTACGACTCTTTGCTATCACAATAGCATATATTAACACTTTCGCGCTCTCCGCAAAGGTCACTCAGCCAACCGAATGTGCGCACTGCGTTTTTATCGCTTAAGCGTAAAAACAAAAATGTGTATACTCTTTTTACTCTTCTGACCTTAGTTCTCATGCTACGTATTTCATTTTGGTTTCAACGTGTTCACAATAAAATTCTCTAGAAGAACATTAGTAAAATAAGTCACGAAACATATAGGGATACCAGCACCAAATAAATAACTACGTAGATGACTCGCCGTGAGCGCCCATCAGCAACAAAATGTTTTTACTCTTGGGATTGTAATCACCTCCACACTTGTTCTACAGCGTTAATTTTGGTATCAATGGACTCGCAATGAAATTCCCAACACGGTGATATGAATATAAGCGTAGAATAATGATGCAGCCTGCCCGCAAGAGTGTGGGAAGTGGTGAAATTGTTACCAGGTATCGGTGACGGGACGACGCACGGCGCTTTGAAAGTTTATACTTATTTCACTCTCATGACATTAATTTTCTATGTACGTCATTCATTTTTATGTCAATGTGTTCGCAATAGAATGTTCTATGTGCCCATAGGTAAAAAATATCAACAAAGCGTAAGTTAGAATAGCGACAAGTATAAAACAACGCTGGAACATATCAGTGAGCGTCAAACACACACGAAATATTTTTACTTTTGTTATGTTTGTCAAGATTATACTTGTTGCACACAGTTATTTTTGGTTGTATATTGATCGGAATAAAATTCCCTAAACAGACATATGCATATAATACATGATATGGGGGAAGAATTACCAGTATAAACGGCTAAAGTCACCCACCTGCAACCCGTTTGGGACAAAATACCATTTGATCGAAGTTATCCATACCTTTCATGAACTTATTGTACCATGCAGCCTAGTGGTGAGAAAGAGAGCCTCATAGCGCGCAGTTTGAAACAAACCCAAAGTAAATCGGATAAAAATTGAATTTTATACAAATATTTTAAAAGTAGACATAACTTTATGTCCACTATGCGTTTACGTTAGACGAAACCGAACACGCCGGCGCGTCCAGATAGCGCGAAAGTGTTAAACAAGTATTATAATTAGTTTAATTGGAAAAAATTTAATTTTTTTTTTTTTTTTTTTTTCCCCCCGGGCGATTTGCATCAAACTTACACACCTAACTGTACGTAAGCCTATCTGTAAGGATGCCAATTTTGGAGAAAATTGGTTGATGTCAACCTCAGTCACAGATTTTAGAACCTTAGACTTTATTCATTTTTTTTTTCAATTGACACAAACGTTTACAAAACTGATTCATTTTTTATTCAATTTACATGAAACTTACACAGTATATGTGGAGGGCATGTCTCTACATTGGAGGGTTTTCATTTTTCTCCAAGTTCATTTATTGATTTTATAATAGCAATAAACATGCCATATTTGCAAAAATTTTTTGGGGAACTTTGAACATTTGTATTAGGAAAACTAAAGATGTTTTGGAAATTCTAAAGCCCGCAATCCTTTATTATATGCTAATGTGTCAGAAAAGTGTCACAGAATAATTATATCTGAAATGTGTGTTCTGAAGTGTGGACTTGAAAATGTGTAAAAAACGTTGAAAAAAAAAAAAATCTCCCTTTCTATTTACGCTGCAGTACTGAAACTTGGGACAATTTAAGCACTTTTCATATACAACTAGTAAAATAATATTGGTTGACATTGAACAACTTTCATCTATAAACCTCAGACGCCCCCTTAAAGGTAAGGTCTTCTGACATGATAACACCCAAATCCTTAACATTGCTTTTTTGTTCTATGGAATGATTTGACTGCGTTATGTATGTGGTTTCCGTTTTTATATTGTCATTTTTTCTGTAGCGCAGGAACTGGAATTTATCCACATTAATTGCCATATTATTTTCTGCGAGTCCAGTGAAAGACCTGATTTATATCAGATTAGAGGGTTGCTGTGTTCTCTATGTTGTCTACTCTTATAAATATCCTAGTGTCATCTGTAAAGGATGATATGGTACTATAGTTTGTGTCCTTGTCTATGTCCAATATGAGAGAGAGTACTGGAGCAAGTACCCTGTGGGACCAAGTTTTAAGGCCACAGAAACATGATCCTTCAAATCATCGAAAGGTAAGGAGGGGGTGGAAAGGGGAAGAGGTGGTAGAAAGAGAGAGAGAGGTGGGGAGGGGAAGGAGAGAGGGGGGAAAGGAAAAGGGGAGGAGAGAGAGAGAGAGAGGAGGGGAAAGGGGAGAGAGAGAAAGGGGGGGAAGGAGAGCAAGGGTGGGGTGAAGGGGAGAGAGGGGGTCAGACAGACAGACCCAGGCACTGCTGAGTACCCCTTCTTGTATATTGTAAAACTAAACAGGGAGGCCATGAACATAGCACTGTACAACTTGATCATTTGAACCCTCTCACCCATACACCACAAATTTGCAAATTACAGTCATGGCGGCACCCTTTAAGAACTAATAGAGTTTCATTTGGGTGCTTAATGGTGGCTCACTTGCACATCTATTTCAGTTTGTGATATTACCACTTGCTCATAAATGTACAGAACAAATTTATAAATAGATACTGATTGATTGTACACAAGTATTTTGCAAGTCAACTAGAAAATTGTGCAAGTGTAAGCTGATTCTTGTTTTCATTCCTATTTGTTACTTGAGGGAATATGTTTATATATTTCACACTACTTGAAGAATACGTTAATTTTAATTTTTAAACAAAGATTTCTATGTAACAACATACACTACTGCACTTTTCACATATTTTGTATTGATATATAATGTTCTTAAAAGTTTACATTGAATTGTTTACAAACATTATTATAACAAATCAATTTTGTAAGAAATAGTTTGCAAAATTCTTTAAGGAGCAAAACTTTAATATAAATTTTTGAGGTATAAAGTTTTTAGGGGCCATGTTCTGCTATTAATTAAAAACAAACACTACTGTATTAGACCCTTTTTAAATTTGCTTAGATAATTTTGATTTGTTATTCTCTTTGTTTAATGATGTTTCTGCAGAAGAGGAAGAATTGTCTCCAAATAAAAGGTCACCATCTGGAAGCTTGAAAAATGACAGCGATGCACAGAGCCCAGTTGAAGCTCCTCGGAGAAGGGGTAGAGCTGCATCTAGGGTAATTATAAGTGATTAATATTGATAATGTGAAATAAGGTTCATAACAATATACTGTAGAAAACTGTAAAATACCTATTGGCTTATTTAAAGTAGCTCCTATTTATATCCACCCAGCCTTCAATTGAAACGGTCCAGTGATCCCATGTCTGTTACATATTTGTTTTTGTCTTTATCTGAGCTCCGGGTGCTTACCTATCAATGACTATGCCCTCTTTATGCCCCACCTCCCAATCGTATAAATGCTTGATGTAGATGGAGTTAGCCATACTCTCTCTTTTACTGTATTCTACTTGTTCAGTACTTGCACTGGAGGCACACACACAAGTTCATTTGTTTTTAGTTTCCAACTGTCTTCTTGGTCGGTCTCCACCTGTTCTGGAGCCTTCATGTCTGTTTAAGGGTAGACTGGTTATGGTATTTTATATATTGTTATCAGGTTTCTGCTGGCTCAACTCTCTTTATTGATGTTATTTTGAGTTTTCCTAGTCTTAACATACCCTTGTAGGAATTCCATCTATGCATAGTTGGGGATTGCATGTTCAACATGCCCAGAGAACAGTTGAGTTAGGCTTGTGAATCTCATCTTCTGACCAAAAGATAGGAGACCTAATAATAGTGTTCCACTCTCAAAGGATGAGCATTTTGATTCTATTAGGCTAGCCCCTGTTTATTATTAGCCTTTAGAGTTTTCCTGTTGGAAAGTTGAGCTGAGATTTGTGTACCTAATTTAATGGTTAAAGAGTATAAAGATAATTAACTAATTCAGACCATTTCAGTTATACCCCCCACTCGAAGTTCTTTCATTAAACACGTAATTTTTTTTCGCCAACCACCAGAATTTACCTTTCCACATTAATTAATACTGTAATAAACTTTCATTTTTTGGCAGTTTAATCATAGAAATAAATAAAATTGAACTAAGGAAAACTTGGTTCAATATTGTATTGATTACTCTGAGAATAGTGTACTTTTCTGGGGGGAGCCCCGTCGGCTCCCTGGAGCTATCCTGGCTGAACAGATATGTATATCTCTCTGGCATCAGTCGATGCATGGAGTTCTTGCCTACCGGGGACCACGAGCCAGAACCTGGCCCCCTCTAGAGAGGCATGAGGAGCAATGGCCTATAGAGACCCTCCTGTGGTTGGGAGCATTCTATGTCTGCCATCGACCAGGACAGGCACCCAGAAAGATAGGCACCCCAAAACAAGCCCCTATTCTGGAAAATAGTTTAGGTTGGGACCTCCACTATTTTTCTTTGAGGACATATGGCATCTCATTATGCAGACGTGTTTAAAGTTTGCTCCTTCTCTTCTACCCCTTTTCAGTTTCAAGCCGTGCTGGTGAAGTGTGCCCGGCACTTTTTTCGATATTCTAGTCTGTGCTCTGAAGCCTTTGAATTCTTCTGGGTTGTGGCTCCTGATGAAGTGGCAGGGCCTTCTCTGGAGGTTGCAGCTTCCCTTTTCAGTGGTGGAAGCACTTGAATCAAAAATTTCTTATTGCAATTCTATTGTCTTTTAGGTGATTCTGTTGGCTTGGATTTTTCCTCATAGGGAAATGCCTGTCAGCCTTCTCAGTGCTGAAAGGTCTCATAAATTTGTCCATAGCATAGATTTAAATACATTTTATTTAATACTCTGTATGTATAATCTAGGAACACTCGATATATTTATCTTTACAAAATCGTTAAGGACAAATTATTTGAATGCAATTTGAAGAACATAAGAAACATTATGTAGTACAGTAATTGTAAATATGTGATGATATCAGGATGCTGGTTTGTCATCTGTTCTTCACTTCTGTGCAGGTGAACTAGCTTTAGTTCTTAGATCAGGACCTTGCCCCATTACACACAGAAATCACAATTGCGTGATGCATCAAATGAACAAATCCACAAGGGCCGTGACAAGGATTCGAACCTGCGTCTGAGAGCATCCCAGACGCTGCCTTAATCGACTGAGCTACGACACGGTCAAAAGGAGTTGAAACCGAAGTTCTACTGAACTTACTGGATCCTGCAGCTTCTCCAAGGTACAAACCAGGGTTTTACACAACTCCCCCCCATGCACTCGAGCTATGTCAATAGGTCGTTTTCCCTCTTCGCCCTTACTTCATTACACACAGAAATCACAATTGATTCCTTGTGGATTTGTTCATTTGATGCATCACGCAATTGTGATTTCTGTGTGTAATGAAGTAAGGGCGAAGAGGGAGAACGGCCTATTGACATAGCTCGAGTGCATGGGGGGAGTTGTGTAAAACCCTGGTTTGTGCCTCGGAGAGGCTGCAGAATCCAGTAAGCTCAGTAGAACTTTGGTTTCAACTCCTTTTGACCATGTCATAGCTCAGTCGACTAAGGCAGCGTCTGGGATGCTCTTGGACACAGGTTCGAATCCTCGTCACGGCCCTAGTGGATTTGTTCCTTGCCCCATTGCCAGATCCTGGCTGTTTTGAATTTGAGTCCATTTCTTTCTCCTGGCTGAGGTATGAAGTCGTCTGGCTAGATTGTGGAGGTCCTCTTTTTGACTTTGGGGGCTTTGCATAGTTTCTGCTGTACCCAAACACTCACGGTTTATTACATTTGTTACTTTCTTGTAATTTATCATTTGCCTTTTGGTATTCCTTGTAGATTCATAGATGGCTTATGCTTAAGATTTGTTTCTTTCCAGATTGAGATGAAGTTCTCTCTCCCAGAAATATACATATGCATACTGTATATCTCATTGAGATTATACATATGCATTTCTGGCTGATATTTTTCATTGCCATGTGCTGTTTCTTTTAAAGTTGAACCACCTCATTAGTTCTGATTTAGTGGAGCTTACAGTAGCAGCTTGGAATAAGGTCAGTTTTAGCCTTAATAAATAATTAATGTTTCAGATTGCTCAGGAGAAGATGAAAAGAGATCTTTTGATTAATGCAAAGCGAAAATTAAGGAGGCCTTCTACGCCTGAAGACTTGCGTACGTCCAGGAAAAAAGGAGGGACACGACATGCAGTTGATTACATAGATTCACATGACAGAATCTCCAGGTATTTTTAGATATTGACTGTTTGTATCACTAAAGTTAGGTTTTTTGCAATATACTTGTGTAGCATTGTTTTTTCATTCTGGTATTTGAGAAACTAGATCTACAACTGAGAAAACACAAAAGAGTGTGAATTGAAATAATTTTGTTAGATATAAATATAAAGGGATGAAGTTGCTCAAGCTATTTTCACCCCATTCAGCAAAACATGTTTGTATATTTATACACCTCACAAACAATTGACATAATATTTAAGTGCTGAATCAGGGTTAGAGAGGTTTCAGTCATATTGAACAATGGATGATGATAGACTGGCATTTGAAGAAATCTGAAATTGGAAGAATAGCAGTAAAAGCCCAGGATGATTAATAGATGTATAAAAATTAACTGTAGGTAAATATGGTGAGTGAGAGTTAGAAAGTGGGAAATGAATGTGAAGAGTGTACAAAAAGTTGTAGAAAATGAGATGAATTCGGTTTAGTGTTAAACATTTTTATTGATATGTTGATTTCACCGAATTATTTTCCTCTGAGTTTATTTCATTTAGTTGCTCCCTAAGGCAGAATTTTATCAACCTAGGCCAAAGGTCTAATACAGTCAAGGCAGGTTGACATTTTGTAGTTGGGAATGTTTTAAACTGACCCTACTGGGTTATACTGGTGCTCTTGATACACTGGAGAACATTCATCCATCCATCCCAGAGTTCATACAGTGTTACATGATATCAAAGTGACCATTAAGTTGCACCCTGCTTAACTACTGAAGGCCTATGTCCTTTTACGTATCCACCATCAGGTGGCAGCACTAATACCACCACGAATCCAACTAACTCAACCTCATCAAATTTATACCCAACTTGACTCAAACTGCAATATATATGGGCAGATGAATTTTTTTTTTTTTTTATCTTTAGTAACTTTACTTTGTTTGGGCAGTGGGCTTTAACTGTGTTACATTAGCGACCACTTTTCGTGCGTGTGTGTGTGTGTGTGTGTACACATTTGTTAACTGTACAGTATACAGACATTTTAAAATACAGTACTGTATATCATTACATTACATGCACGCGAGCCCAGGCTGTGCTCGGGGAATAGAAGAACTCCCGAAATCCTCCAAGTATGCTCCCTTCAAGGGATGCACAATCATTACTGCTTTTGCTGAATGTATAAAGTGATAGTGAGCTGAGCTCTTAAAACCTCTGATGTTTTATAGGTACACCAGAGCATGAAAGAGGGCTAAAGAAGGCACTAAATTTTAGTAATGCATGGCATTCACATTGTATAATAATTCCATAGGTTCACCCATCAATGCTTCAAAATTTATCTTAGCTTTAATTTATCTTCACTAAATTTAATACCAAAATACAGTACAGTACTTTAAATTTGCTGTTTTAGTGATATTCCAATTATTTTTCAGTCCAGAAGACACAGGAAGAAATACAAACACTTCCAGGTCTCAGGAAAAAAATAACAATAACAAGAAAACCTCCAGATCACAAATTAAACAAAATTCAGATAGTAATCCAACCCCTGATTTAGTATTTTCTCGAGACGCACCAAAGAATAATTCTTTCTCCCGAGACGAACCTAAAGAAGATCCTAAATTTTCTCAAACCACCCCAAAAAAGAAGAGAAGCAGTACGAGTCGTGTAAGCTTAAGCTTAGTGCTAGAAAAAATAAATGACACAAATGAAGCAGATAAAAATGTCTTGGAAAATATTACAAAAGTCTGTTTATCAAACATAGCACAAGAGAAAGCAGAGGAACAAACTCGGGTTTCAGATGAGAATTGTACATATTCTGAACTCCGGTTGGAAGATAGTGATGATGAAAGTGAAGTTGAAAAAGAATTGAATACACAGTTGTTGCAAGAGAAGATCAATGAAGGCAAGAAAGAAGAATCGTCCTCCCTCAAGAACTTGACCCAAACTGTGTGTGAAGAAAGAAAGAAATCTGGTAACAAATGTATACTTTCTCAGGCTCAGAACTTTATGGAGAAAAGTGAAGTGTTGCCACAGGACTCTGTACAACTTTCTCAACCTTTACCAAATGGTCAAACTTCTCCCAAACAACAAAGAGAATTACAATTGAAATTGAATGATGAGACAGATAACTGTCATAAAATTGTTGGTGTAACTAATGCACCTGATCCAGTTTGTAAAGACAAATCAGAAAGTGGGTCAGCTTCTGAGAGCTCTACTCAAATTGTATGTGTGAAACCAGAAATATTACCAAAGTGCTCTGAACAAATCTTGCCATCTTTATCAAAGGGTCGAACAACTCGCACCAAACAAAGGGAATTACAACTTACATTAAAAGATGAGACAGATAACTGTCATAAAACAATAGAAATAGTAGTTGACCCACCACCTCCAGTTCCCCAACCGAGATCCACCCGTACTAAGCAAAAAAAAATGTTGGAAATAAACTGCATAAGCGATGATGAATCAGATATCCAAATGTTCCCTCCTACAAATATGGTAAAATCAAGAGTAACAAGGTCAAAGTTGAAGACAAAAGAAAACTTGAGAATTGTTGAAAATGAAGGATCAGTGGAGGATGGCAGTAATGTTCATAGAGAAACTTTGTCACAGCATACTGCAGATGTTAGCAAGCCTCGTTTAGCTCGTACTAAAACAAAAATGGCTGATTATACTGATGAGGCATCTTGTGGCAATTCACAAAATCCAAGATCGACAAGAACAAAAAAGCGAGAGGTAGAAGAGTACAACGTTGAACAGTCTACTCGAACCACAAGAACAAAGCGCAAGAAATTTGAAGAACTATCAGAAAAAGAATCGGATGATCAACAAAATCATAGTTTGCGTCTAACACTCTCAGAATCTGACGATGAAACATATTCGGTACCACGTCAAGTAGAAATGAACTCTACATTTGTTAAACCAGATTCCCAGAATGCCTCAAAGACGGCTTTAAGAAATCGTGATGAATCGGCAGATTCTGTTTCATCAGAGACCTCTGTAAAATCAATACAGTTGGCTGCAACCTGTGTGCCTGCCAATGCAACTATAGTTAAAATGGGTAAATCTAGTGAAAATACAGAAACCATTCCAGTTCGTCGTATAACTCGATCTAAGGTTCGACAGTTACCAGCTTTAATGGCAAGCCCAAAACGGTCTCCATCTCTCCATATTGGCAAGGTTTTAACTCCAAAGTCTCCATCGCTTTCTAATTTTAAACGTATATGCTGCACTCCTAACTCAGATACTGAAGATCCAAAGGCACCTGCTACACACAAAAAGGGAATTGTGGTCAAGAGCCCAGTGAAACACACATTGAAACCATTTGCCAAGTAAGTATCAATTTTGTCCTTGAATTAATAAGTAGTATAGTGGAATGGTAAGAAAAGGTAACAAACTTTGGCTGAAAGAAACAACCCAACCCGTATTTAATAATTAAGATGACAATGTTTGGGTCCGTCCAGGACCCTTATCAAGTCGCAACATTATAGGGGTCCTGGATAGATCAAAACATCGTCACATTTCATTTCATGTGTGGGTTGCATTATATGTAGTAGAATATTTGCAGCAGGGTTAATAAATGTTAGTGTGAATTGAATGGAATGAAAGATTTCTGCATATATTACAAAAATATTGGAAATAAGGTATTGTACACAATTTGTAATTAGTGCATGTAGTAATAAGGTATCCCTGATAGAAATATCCTAGAATTTTATATGAAGTAAACCTCTATATTTTTCTTCAAAATTTTTCATAATACATTTGATTTTCTGGGGGTAGCCCCCTACAGCTTCATGGAGCTATCCAGGCTGATATGGATATCCCTAATTTTAGCATCAGTTGATGTGGGTGGAGCTCTAGGCCTACTGGGATCACGGCCAGAACCTGGCCTCCCTCAGAGATACACGAGGAGCAATGGCCCATAGAAATGCACGTGTGATTTTGGAGCATTCTATATCTGCCATTCATCTGGACAGGCACCCAGGCAAGCTAGGTTTAGGTTGTTGCAGCATGCTTGGTTGGTTGCTTCCCCGGATGCCCCAAGGTTGCCCCGTTTTGTTTATAGGGAAACGGACCTGGGGATGTTGATCGCTTTGGCCTTGGTTCCGTCTGAGCCCCTTATTCTTCCCCTGCTGTGGTTCATTCGGTGCCCCCCCCCCCCCTGCTTCCAGCTCCTAAACGTCAGAGCTTCTGGGTCGGGGCAGGGTTTAGAGGTTTCTGAGACTGGCAGTTTTGGGGGTTGCCTCTTCCGGGGTGGCTGCGGAGGCATTCGAGTCAGTTCCTCCACCCGTAGCTCAGGGATCTGACCAATGGGACCATCCTCTTCCAGCTATTCCGGTCGCCCCGGGTTTTTCTTGTGAGGCCGGGGCTTTGGCTGACGACTTGCCCCCAGGGCCTGACGTGGAGGTTCCCGGGGTTGGGGAGGAGCTGACTTGGGATCCTTGGGCCCTGTTGGACCCCGCCTGGGTTTTTCGATCCTCCGGGCGGGCTTGCTGTTACAAGGAGCGAGGTTTTTCTCCCCCCCCCCTTCTGCGCACGAGCTGGATTTGGGTTCGGCTCCTCCCCGGGTTCGGTTCCGTGTCCCTGCGGGTCTTTCGGTTCTGTCCTTCCGAAGGTTTTCGGCTTCCTGCATCTCTCCGGCTGAGGTGCAGGCGGCCATTGTGGCTTACCTCCTGCGCGACACGGTGTATACCTCTATAATGGATCCGTCTTCCTTCAAGTTTGGGTCTTTGTCTCCATACTGGGTTCGTTATGAGGTTCAGTTGTTGTCCTGGCTTGCGGACTGCCCTATGTTTTCGCTGGATGCTTGAGACACCTTCTGTCGTACCACACGCTTGAGTGGTGTGGGTGTGAGGTGGTGTTGACTGTGGTTGAGGTTTACCTGGAAGGGGCGATTTTGCACACCTTAATGAGTGCCTTTTCGCTCTGGCTCTTATACGGGATGTTGGCGCGGTTCAGCTTCATGTGCAGGTTCCCTCCTTGTCGGCTGTGCTTGTGGTTGAGGACTTGCACGCTCAGGGTCTGTTGGCTTCGGTCCTGCGTTTCTTTTTCCTCCTTGAGCTGTTTTCTGATTGGCTTACGGAGGATGTAGAAGCACTTGGGGCCGTTCCTGGGTCTAGCGCCTTGGCTACGGTTGCTCTTTTGAAGTTGTTTAAGCCGATCCTGCAGGATATGCTGTTGCAGTTTTTGCTGAGCGCCTTGCGTGTTGGCAGATGGTGTTCGCTTCCTCCTTGGAATCCGCTTGCACTCTGGCTCTTAGATTGTCTTCGCACTTTTGTCCTTTATTATTTGCGCCTACTGCGGTTGAGGAATATATATGCAAGCGGCTTCCTCCAACTGTCGCTGGAGGTCCCGGGTGTATTCCACCCGGAGGGGTCATGTCAGGGCCCGTGGTTCCGATCATCGAGGTGGGCCATAGGTGCCAGTTTCGGAGCCGGCCCCGGCTGCGCCTGCTTGGTGCAGTGCTCGCTCTGTGAGCAGGTCGGGTTCTCGCACGGGGTGTCGGCCCTTTTGTGGTTCGCCCCATTAATGGAGTCATGGGGGAACGTTTGCTCTGTTCGCTCACGCCTGGTTCCATGATTCATGGGCTTTTCGGGTCGTTTCTTGCGGCCTTCGGTGGCATTGGGTGGCTCCTCCTTTGGGGGTTCGGGGCTGCAGGGCAGGCCTCTTCTCCTGCGCTTTGTCAGGTCGTCTTGGCGTTAGTGCGCTTGGGCGTGGTCGAAACGGTGAAGTCCCTCAGATGAGTTTCCCGCCTGTTTCCAGTTCCGAAACATGACCGTGCGAACCTACAGTTCATTCTGGAATTGTCCCGTCTGAACGCTTGGGTTTTTTGCCCCTCCTTTGTCCCTATTCATATATGGTTCAGGGACTGGCTTGGTTTTGTTTTGGGGTGTCAGTTACCGCTTTCATTGTCTCCTACTGAACCTGGCACCTCGCGTGTTCACACACCACCCGGGTCGTGGTGGCCCGTCTGCGTCTGTTAGGTGTTCGGGTGTTGGCTTACCTCGACGACTGGCTGGTTTGGGCTCCCAGTCGGTCTGCGTGTCTACTCCTCAGGGGTTTGGTGGTTTTCAGCTAGCTGGGTTCGGGTGTTCCTGGTGAACTGACGGAAGTCCCATCTGGTTCCCTCCCAGGTTCGGACCTGGCTGAGTCTTGTAATTACCTAAGTGTAATTACCTAGGTGTAGTTACAGGATGAGAGCTACGCTCGTAATGTCCCGTCTCCCCAGCATTTTTTGTCATATAACACTTTGAAATTACTGACGGTTTTGGCCTCCATCACCTTCTCACCTAAATTGTTCCAACCGTCTACCACTGTTTACAAAAGTGAATTTTCTTATATTTCTCTGGCAGCTTTGTTTCGTGAGTTGAAATCTATGACCTCTTGTTCTTGAAGTTCCAGCTCTCGGGAATTCTTCCCTATCAATTTTATCGAGTCCTGTTATTATTTTGTATGTAGTGTTCATATTGCCTCTTTTTCTTCTATCTTCTAGTTTTTGCATATTTAATGCCTCTAACTTCTCCTCGTAGCTCTTGTCCTTCAGTTCTGGGAGCCACTTAGTGGCATGTTGTTGCACCTTTTCCAATTTGTTGATGTGCTTCTTAAGATATGGGCACCATACAACCGCTGCATATTCCAGCTTTGGTCTAACAAAAGTCGTGAACAATTTCTTTACTATTTCTCCATCCATGTATTTAAAAGCAATTCTGACGGTAGAAAGTGTAGCATAGGCTCCTCGCACATTGTTCTTAATGTGGTCCTCAGGTGACAGTTTTCTATCTAGAACCACCCCTTAGATCTCTTTCTTTGTCAGAATTCTTTAAAGATTACTCATGTAATTTATATGTTGTGTGGGGTCTATGTTCTCCAATTCCACATTCCATAACATGGCATTTATCCATATTAACACTTTCGCGCTCCCTTCGATGGTAAAAAAAAAAGTGGTATGTGCGCGGAGCGTTTTTGCTGCGTAAGCGTAAAAACAAAAATGTGTATACTCTTTACTCTGCTTACCTAAGTTCTTGAGCTACGTATTTCATTTTGGTACCAACGTGTTCGCAATAAAATTCTCTAGAAGAACATCAGTAAAAAAAGGGGAGAATCCATGGTGACCCATCTACTTGCTTATACATATATATAGCCTACCTGCCGACCACCGAACGACCCTTTTGCTATAAGACAAATGAAAAATAAATATTGAGCAAATTTGAAGAAAGGAAATGTCATAAAGGTTTGTGCAATGTATCTACGGTAGGCTGCTAAATTATTGAAACGTAAATGACAAATACAAAACAAATGGAACACATTTGAAACAAAGAAAGATTGTTATAATGGAGCAGCCTACCTGCCGAACACCGAACGAACCTTTTTTGACATTTGTTATATATCAGAAATTTCATGTTTTTTTTTCTACAAAAATACCAATGATTTGCAACATCTCACCAGTCACCCCTTTATATCCCAGCATCATTAGCATCTTTAAACAAAAACAACATAATTTGTTTGTATCGTCAGAGGTGTCCAAGAATGTGCAAGAAGCAGCGCGACCCCACCATGTGGTGTTGACGTTGCTCAATCGGGCGTTCACCATACGGGACAATTTGTCGCCGATCGGGCCGGTCGTTACCCAAAATGTTCGCCTTTTGGGGCGATTGTTATGCAAGATACCACTGTATCTACATTTGTGTTCACCATAGAGAACCACTGAGCTGGTATGGTGAATGCAGACAATAACAGGTGGCCACACAGTCAGTAAACAATACTATCTCCCTTTCCCTAAGCATTACTCCTCCCACAGCACTAATTATCACAACAATCCTGCTATTTTCACAATCCTGATCATTTTTATCACAGTCAAGGGTTATCTGTAATATTGTCATCGCTAAATAATAGCAGTTACATATTTATTTTGACATTTTTAGGCGATGCTGTGGTCACAAGCTGAACAGCAATGCTGTTAGCTCATGGTGCGTGCACCAGCGTTGGTTGCTCCCACAGTACTGTGGCTCTCACACCGGAGAATATTGCCCACAATTATTTTTAAACATGGTGTCTGTTTACAAGAGCCCTGAGGAAGCTAATGTGAACCCCGTGTAGATGTGGGCCATTTGAATCGTGCCTGGCACCCTATGGCATATATATCCGCCATGCGCACCGTGGGACATGTTACTCATGGCATATATATACGCCATGCGCAATTTTGGGTTTGACTTTAGGATGCGTGTTGCCAACTGTTAAATAGGTTTAAATTTTGTTCCTAATTTATTATTATAATGCTGAATTACTTTTCTATTTTGTTTTTCATTTCCTACTATTAATTGGTAGATAATGGGAATGATTTTTATATTTAACTGTCTTTATAACATTTTACTGAAAATGCTAGAGTAGGCTGATGGCAGCAGTTGAACTTAGTGACAATGGCCTTTCACATACTGCACTCATCACACCACTAAGAGTTTTATTTTCTTATGTATTTAAAATTACTTAATGAACAACAATTTTTTTTACAATACCTATTTCACATTCAATTAAACTCATTGGGATTCAATTCATTATTTTAGCCTGGCCACGGATTCTCTCTTAATTTTGTTTTAAAGCATCTTACCTTCTCCCAATTTTCCTCCATTACAATAATCCTGTTCTTTTTATCATTATGTTGTATGAGTGTATTTTTCTATTTTTTCAGCTCAAGATCATGTCTTTCAGTGCGGGACATGGCATCTGCATACCAAACTCATATTGGAGAAAAGCTTAATGAAATAGAGGAACTGACATCTGAAACATGTGAGGTTCGTATATATGTGTACATAAAATATATATAACAACTAGAGACCCTAGAGCTGCCAGTTTCCTCTTTTAGCACCAGAGGTGGTACCCCTATACCCCTATATATATATACAGTGGTACCTCGAATAACGAATTTAATCCGTTCCATGTTCGTCATGTGAAACGGACGTCATACAAAACGAATGTCCTCATGTAACCACTGTGATGCACTGTGTTTATTGTGAAATTCCCCCAGTGTGCATGATATCGAATGTACCCAAAATATATTTTTCTTTGTAAAATGATAATTTACTTTTCCTGAACATGTCTGTAAAAATAATTACCAAATTCCACTTACTTTGGCTGTGGGGACGTGGACAAGGTGACCTGTGACGTCATCAGGGGCTGGTTGCTCGTGTGTGAAGCTTCCAGACACGGTCGCGCAGGCCATTCAAGCACTGCGTGTTGCCTCAAATATATTTTCAAATATTTTTTTTATGTACAGTATTTCCAATGTGGTATTATTTGTTTCTTTTAGCATATATGATGCATATTTGTGACCTTTACAATATGTATACAGTAGAATGTTCATAATTTTCCATGGAACTGTGATACATGTGTCAGTAATGTGTCTTAGTGGGCCAGCCAAAGGCTTAGGGCCCACGCAGGAATATCAGTGCAAAAAAAAAAAAATATGTCCACAATAAATGTTTATTGTCACAATATTACGTGGTAAAAATTCACTAAAATTACAATATGTACAGTTTCACATACTATTTACACAGTAACACACTGTATTACACACTCAGTACTTTGGAGGTGCGTAATAATCAACGAAGTAGTCCATGGTACACAGCACAACTTTGCTCGCGTTGCACTAGCTACAGATAGATTTTCGCTTCCTGTTTCATCGTTCTCTGTGCTTGCAAATAATGCACTCGTGTGCACCCTTGGCTTTAGTACTTGTAGGTGGTATGTAGCCAAGCTTGTAAAGCATAAGGTAGTATTAAAACGATTATAGGAAAAGCTCAATTTGTAAGGTAGTCTTGAAAAGATCGCTTTGTAAGGTCCCACACTGGAAGAGATTCAGCTAGCCTCGAAGAGTGTCCGTCAGTCAGGAAGAGATTCAGGTATTCTTGAAAATATCTATGGAAAACACCACCATGGAAGCTGCTAACACTGTTCATCTATGCTACTTGTATCAGGTGCATCATCACCGAACACAGAAAACGATTCATCTATGTATCATCTATATAAATTGGAGATGGCAAGGGTGGGGCTTAGAGCTTCAACTGGATACGCTCACTGTATCATCCTCATAGGGGCTGTATCACTTGCATCCAACCGTTGTGTTAAGTCCTTATTGCGCCTAGCTTCTCCAATATTATGACCCTTATGTTCTTCAAACAATAAGGCCTGAATTTCACCGACTGAGCGCAATCTTTCAGCACCGTGTCGGTCAGGTGTTTGGGAGCCATAGGCACATGTGCCACAAATGGTTGCTTATGGAGTACTAACCCAGCCAGCAGCCCTTGCCTTTCATATTTGTTATAGCAAAAAGTTTGTTCAGTGTTTGTCAGATAGGCTGCTCCAATATGACAATCTTTCTTTGTTTTAAATGGTGTTCCATTTGTTTTGTATTTGTCACTTACGTCTCAATAATGGAGCAGCCTACCCGACAAACACTGAACGAACCTTTATGGCATTTGTCCATTTTTCAAATTGTTTCAACAGTTCATTTATTTTTAATTTTTTTTTATTTAAGAAACATGGAGCAGCCTACCTATAGACCACCGAACGAACCTTTTTGACATTTGTTCTGGTTTTCAAAATTCTTCATTTTTTTTATTATTTACGTTTTTTTATGTAAGAAATATGGAGCAACCTACCTGCCGACCACCGAACGAATCTTTTGCTATAAGACAAATGAAAAATAAAGATTGAATACATTTGAAGAAAGGAAAATGTCATAATAGTTTGTGCAGTGTATGTACAGTAGGCTGCTCCATTATTGAGACGTAAATGACAAATAAAAACAAATGGAACACATTTGAAACAGAAAGATTGTAATAATGGAGCAGACTACCTGCCGAACACCGAACGAACCTTTTTGACATTTGTTGTATTTAAAAAAAATTCAATTCTTTTTTTCTACAAAAAAGTCATTGGTTTGTAACATCTCGGCAGTCACCCCTTTAAATCCCAGCATCAGTAGCATCTTTAAACAAAAACAACATAATTTATTTGCATCATCGGAGGCATCCGAGAATTTGCAAGCAGCAGCGCAACCCCACCATGTGGTGTCGTCGTTATTCAAATGAGCGGTCACCATATGAGACGAATTGTCGGCGATCGGGCCAGTCGTTACCCAAAATGTTTGCCATTTGAGGCGATCGTTATTCGAGGTACCACTATATATATATGTGTGTGTGTGTGTAATTACCTAAGTGTAGTTACAGGATGAGAGCTACGCTTCTGGTGTCCCGTCTCCCCAGCACTCTTTGTCATATAATGCTTTGAAATTACTGATGGTTTTGGCCTCCACCACCACCTCACTTACCGTGTTCCAACCGTCTACCACTCTGTTTACAAAAGTGAATTTTCGTATATTTCTCCGGCAGCTTTATTTCATTAGTTTAAATCTATGACCTCTTGTTCTTGAAGTTCCGGGTCTCGGGAATTCTTCCCTATCAATTTTATCGATTCCTGTTACTATTTTGAACGTAGTGATCATATCGCCTCTTTTTTTCTTTTATCTTCTAGTTTTTGCATATTTGATGCCTCTAACCTCTCCTCGTAGCTCTTGTCCTTCAGTTCTGGGAGCCACTTAGTGGGATGTCGTTGCACCTTTTCCAGTTTTTTGATGTGCTTCTTAAGATATGGGCACCATACAACTACTGCATATTCCAGCTTTGGTCTAATAAAAGTCGTGAACAATTTCTTTAGTATTTCTCCATCCATGAATTTAAAAGCAATTCTGAGGTTAGAAAGTGTAGCATAAGCTCCTCGCACAATGTTCTTAATGTGGTCCTCAGGTGACAGTTTTCTATCAAGAACCACCCCCTAGATCCCTTTCTTTGTCAGAATTCTTTAAAGATTTCTCACATAATTTATAGGTTGTGTTGGGTTTATGTTCTCCAATTCCTCATTCCATAACATGGCATTTATTCACATTAAATTCCATTTGTCAAGTGTTGCTCCATATACTTATTTTGTCCAGGCCTTCTTGAAGGGCATGACAATCATCTAGGTTTCTTATCTTCCCTATTATCTTAGCATCATCAGCAAATATGTTCATGTAATTCTGTATTCCCACTGGTAGATCGTTTATGTAGAATGTACACAATGAACATTACCGGTGCAAGAACTGATCCCTGTGGTACTCCACTCGTGGCATTCCTCCAATCCGATACCTTGCCTCTGATTACGGCCCTCATTTTTTTGTCAGTTGGGAAATTTTTCATCCATCTTAGTAGCTTACCTGTCACCCCTCCAATATGTTCCAGTTTCCAGAACAACCTCTTATGGGGAACTCTGTCGAAAGCCTTTTTTTTAGGTCCAGATAGATGCAGTCAACCCAACCATCTCTTTCCTGTAAAATCTCTGTGGCTCGATCATAAAAACTGAGTAAGTTCGTTACACAGGATCTTCCAGATCGAAAACCATACTGTCTGTGATAGTATATCGTTTTCCTCCGGGTGTTCTACCCATTTAGTTTTAATTATTTTTTCCAATATTTTGACTATTACACTTGTCAATGATACAGGTCTATAATTATGGGGGTCTTCCCTGCTTCCACTTTTGTAGATTGGAACTATGTTAGCCTTTTTCCACGCATCAGCTACAACTCCTGTAAACAGGGATGCCTGAAAAATCATTTGAAGCGGAATGCTGAGCTCAGGTGCACATTCTCCCAGAACCCATGGTGAAACTCCATATGGACCAACTGTTTTTTTTTTTTTTTTTTTTTTTTTTTTTTTTTTTTTTTTTTTTTTTTTTTTTTGAGATATATACAAGAGTTGTTACATTCTCGTACAGCCACTAGTACGCGTAGCGTTTCGGGCAGGTCCCTGGAATACGATCCCCGCCGCGAAGAATCGCTTTGTTCTTAGCTCCTTGAGCATTTTTACCATTTTGTCTCCAGACACCTCTATGTGCTCTGTTGTTCTTTGGAATTCTTATTGTATCTGGTTCCCTGAAGATTTCATTTTGTACAAACACACTGGAACTTTTCGTTTAGTGTTTCACACATTTCCTTTTCATTTTCCGTGAATCTATTTCCCATTTTCAACCTCTGAATATTATCCTTGACCTGCAATTTGTTGTTTATGAATTTATAGAATAGACCTGGTTCTGTTTTACATTTGTCTGCAATCCCTTTTTCAAAATTTCTTTCTGCCTCTCTCCTCACTGCCGTGTAGTTGTTTTCGCATCTTTGTATCGCTGGTATGTTTGGGGGTTTGGCCTCTTCCTGTATTGATTCCATTTTTGTGTCTTTTGGTCTCTGGCCCTCTCGCAATTTGTGTTGAACCAATCCTGTTTCCTAGTTCTGCATCTCTGTTTTGGTATAAATTTTTTTGTGCCTTTATCATATTTCACAAAACTTGACATACCTCTCATTCATTTCCTTGCCTAGCAACAAGTCTGTCCAATTATACTCACTAAAAAGAGTCTAAGGTCGCCATAATGTCCTCTCCTGAATTCAGGTTTTTCAACTGCTTCATCCTCCTTATTTTCTTCCAGATTATAACGCATTGCATACTTTATTCCCAAAAAGACATGGTCACTTTTACCCAAGGGAGGAAGGTTTTGCATGTCAAATATCTCTTCCTCCTTCCTGGTAAATATCAAATCTAGCATGGAGGGAACGTCCCCTTCCCTCATCCTCGTAGCTTGTTTAACATGTTGATACAAGAATGTTTCCAGGATGAGGTTTACAAATCTACAGGTCCAAAAATCTTCTGTTTTAGCTTCATATGCTTCCTAGTCTATGGATTTCAAGTTGAAGTCACTGATTATAAAC